GGGCTTAAGTGGAGAGCAAATGTTTTGAGAATGATGAGGGCAATGAATGTACAAATGTGCTTGACACAATGGATATACCTATGGATTGTGATGAGTTGTACGAGCCCCCAATAAAATGATTTAAAATTAAAAATTTGCTGAAAAACTTGGATTATACACAAGTATATATGGTATATACTCATATACACCCAGAGTAAGTCTATATGAGCTTTAGGCTTTGTACCAAAATCATCTCTTTTTTTTTTTATGTTCATGATCATAGTTACCAGTCTTAGTTATTAATGTGAATCCAAATATAGCCAGCCAGCTCTGGTCTGTTCTAGAAACCAAGAAGGGCATCGGTCCTGAGGAGATGTTCTGTGTGTACATGAAACCAAAATCCAGACTCACTGCCATTAAGCCGACACCAACATACAGCTAATTACAGAGGCGGTCGAACTATACAATCTACAATATCAGTCACTCTGTAAGTTCTATGGCATCCTAGTGACCTACTGGGTTATGTGATGAGCTGCTAACTGCAAGGCCAAGAGTTCAAACCCACTAGCCACTCTGCAGGAGAAAGATGAAGTTTTCTGCTCCTCTGAAAATTCACAGCCTCTGAAATCCTTTCTATGGTCGCATGAGTTGGAATTGACTCAATGGCAGCTGGTCAGCTGGTCGTTCTTTTGTAGTGTCAGTTCCATTTAGGCAAAAGCCAGGTCTAATCAGTAGACTCTGAGCTTAGTGATGAGCACCAATACAATAGGTGCTCAATAAACAGGTACTGAATGGTTAAAAGCACAAATGACAAGTCGCAAGGTACAGGGCATACTGAGAATGGGTCAAATGCTTCATCTCTACATGTGATGTGTACACAGCTCTGTAAGGGCCTCAGCTTTGTGCTAGCTTCCTTTGGAACACTAACACCTGTCGTATAACATGGGCTCAATAATAATCATAAAACCAATGAAGAAACAATGACCATCAGAACGAATTCAAGAGCTGGAATAAAAGGAACCAGAGTAAAGGAAGGCAGCTGGTAACCAAAGCTGTTAAGCTCATATATGGAATCATTACTAAGTTTTCCAAGTTAAAACACTGCAGTGTGCATGCGCGCACGTGTGTGTGTGTGTGTGTGTGTGTGTGTGTGTGTGTACCTGTTCACGCATCTATGCCAAGCTCTATTTGGGGGACTTCTCAAATTAAGTACTTCCAGTTTTATCAAAGCTATAATACAGCCTGAATATAAGTACTATATAATGCACATTCATTGGAATACTATAAACAAACAAACAAATGCCCTGCCGCTGAGTCAATTCCAACTCATAGCAACCCTACAGAACAGGATAAAACTGCCCCTGTGGATTTTTGACACTGTAACTGCTTATAGTAGCAAGCCTCGTCTTTCTCCCAAAGAGCAGCTGGTGGTTTCAAAATACTGACCTTGCAGATAGCAGCCCAGTGCTTAACCAATATGATGACATCAGGGCTCCTTGGAATACTATACGACTATGAAAACTAGCAGAGCCTTCATTGCATAGTAGGTTATGTGTTTAGATGCTAACCACAAGATCAGTAGTTTGAACCCACCAGCCTCTCCATGGGGAAAAGATGAGGCTGTCTACTCCCATAGAGATTTACAGTCTCAGAAACCCTAGGTAGCAGTTCTACATGGTTCTGTAGGGTGGCTATAAGTTAGAATCAACTCGATGGCAGTAGGTTTTTTTATAAAGAATGAAGAGTCCATGAATCTGTTATAACATGTATGAATCTGGAGGACATTATTCTAAGTAAAAAAGGTTAATAACCACAAAAGGACAAATAGTGTATGGCCCCACTTTTATCAGAAGCTAAGAATAGATAAATACACAGAAAGCAACATTCTTTGATGGTTTCCAGGGAGGGGAGGGGGAAAGAGAACCACACTCTAGCTGTAGGCAGTGGTTATTTTTGCAGACGGGAAAGGCAACACCCAATATGTGAAGTCAGCACAGTTGGACCAAAGTAAAATGAGTACACTGAGAAACACACAAGTAAACACCAACTCAGTAAATGCTGTCACATGCAACTTTGCAACAATAGTAGTAACAACCAAAAAATAAGTATGTGACATACAGGTAGATATGTATATGTGTACGGGAAGGCCTACTTGAGTACGTGCACATGAATGTATAAGTATTTTTCATAGACATATGTATAAACATAGATATGTGTGATACAAAGGAAGGAGCTCCAAAAGGCTCCTGGAAATTTTTAATTAAAAGCTAATGGAATTGTTTCTAAATTTTTTGGAGGCCCTTCATTTATATTCATATACATAAAATTAACAACATAGGGGGCATAGTTAGAGACTTCAAGATATATTCAAACACTGTGGGGTTGTGTTACTGGGTTAAAAGGCTTGAGACCACAGTACAATTCAATCAATCGTCAAAGCATAGTTCAGAAAGATAATATTCTACATCCTAGTTGAGTGAGTAGAGTCTGGGGTCTTAATAACTTGTGAGCATTAACCTGAGATATAACTATTGGTCTCTACACATCTGGAAAAAGAACAAACGAAGAAAATCAACAACTCAAAAGAAGGTATCACTCTACATGAATGCACTTATCTTGTAACCTGACATTTGTCTTTGACAGCAGTGAGAAACTACTGTCAGTGTTTTCTCATTACCAACACCCATCTGGCAGTAGCAAACTTTAGGGTGTGAGGCTAAAGTAATGCTGGCTGTGATACATAAAGTTATGTATCAACTTGGGTGGGCCATGATTCTCAGTGGTTTGACAGTTATGTAATGTTGTAAGTTGACAATTAAATACTGACATAGTCATCCCCTATTTTCCCACAATGCCCATTTCCACAAAAGAACTTGGTCTTTTAAATCCAACTATATCAACAGTGAGAAGTACTACCCCACACAAATCACAACCTTTGTAGACCAAGATCAGAAGAACTAGATGGTGCCCAGCCATCACTCCCAACTATACTGATCAGGGACACAATAGAAGGCCCTGGACAGAATTGGAGGAAAATGTAGATCCAAACTCAAATGTGTAACAAAGACCAGACTTACTGGACTGATCAAGGGCAGGGAGGAAGCTAGAGATGTGAAAAAAGAACTAAAAAAAATAGAAACAATAAGAATGCTGACACACTGTAACCAATGTCACAGGACAACCTGTATAAAAGCTAAAAATGAGAACTGAACTTTCACCTAAAACAAAATTAAATATTTACACACACACACACACACACACATATATATATATATATATACATAAATACAGTTACCTTGCTTCCTTCATCCCTACACTAAATTACACACAGGACAGTGACCCCCTTCAGAGAGAAACAAAATATTTTCACCCCAATCAAAATCACTCCATTTCCACTCACACATTTGCCACATAAGCACACATAAAGACATGCTTAGAATAAACACAAAGAAGCAAAGGGCAAGCAACATAAATTAGGCACGTAAAAGCAAGAAAGGAAACGAACAACAAACTATGATGCCAGGTCTCAAAACCTTTATCCAAAATCCTTTACAGACAACTGCAGAATCACAGCTCCCAGTATATCAGAAAGGGAAAGCACACGAGTAACAATGCATTTAGGCCTACCCTTCTAGCAGATAACACTTCATCTGCAAGGTCAACAGTTCAAACCCACTTGTCACTCTGAGGGAAAGAATTGAGGCTGTCTGTCCTATAAAGATTTACCCTCTGAAACCCTACTAGAGAACAGTTCTACTCTGTCCTGTATCGGGTCGCTATGAGTCAGAATCGACTTTGCAACAGTAGGTTTGGTTTGGGTAACTTTACCCAAATTCAGACAAGTCACAAGACAACCCTTTCCAACAGTACCCCCAAGGTTCCGGGCTGCACAGTGGGTTGTGGGTTATGCTGCTAACTGCAAGGCCAACAGTTCAAATCCACCAACTGCTGCTGGAGATAAAGATGAGGCAGCTTACTTCTGTAAAGCCTTGGAAATCCTTCAGAGCACTTCTACCCTGTCCTACAAGGTCACTATCAATCGAAGTCAACTTGAGGGCAGTGTATTTGGTTTTTTGAGGTGGGAATCAAACCCCTAGAGCTTAAAAAAAAAAAAAAGGTGAACAAATAAAGTACTTCTGAGTTCAGGGAGCAATTAAACATGTCTTTTCTGTACAAACTCTTGGACGTAAGTCATAAAATGGTCAAAAACTGGTATCCTGACTATTACTTACGCAGAGCACAACTATAAGGGGTTGAAAGGTTCTTATTCAACACGAAGACATTGCCAGGGTCAGTTTTCCCAACATGCTTAACTTCAATCTTCTCGATTCGAGGAGTTAGTGATAACTGCCTGCTTTTCTCTTTGTTGAAGAGTTCATTTCGCATTTCTGTCAACTCGGTTGGTGACAGCTGAGAAGCTGGTGATGTTGCTATAAATCCTGTGGGACAATTACAAGAAATATAAAAATTGGGGAAAATGAATTATATAGAATATGAATGGCACCCTCCACCCTATTCCAAATTCCTTGGGTGGTTCAATCAGTGGATCTGTTGGACTGATAGTAGAAAAATTAGAACTTGCAACCGGAAAGATGAAAACTTAGTTCAGTCTCCAGCTTGGCTAGTATTTCCTGTTGGAGAATAAGTGGTGGGTTTGTTAAAAGATTGAGAATTCAAATGTTTAGAAAATAATGATAGCAACATATGTATAAATGTGCTTAATACAATTGATGTATGGATTGTTTTAAGAGCTCTAAGAGCCCCCAATAAAATGATTTTTTTTTAAAGGGCAGGGGGCCCACCGTTTGCCAAAAAGTCTTCAGGATAAACGTAACAGTACGAATTAAACACAATGCCAGCAGAAGAAAATAGTGGCAGGCCCAGATCCATGCCTTTATTACATTATATCACATCCCTATGTTCAAAAGTTCCTTCTGTGAAGTCTGCGCTTTATAGTAAGGGGCAACAAGTAACCCGGAACTAGAGTCCAAAAGAGGCAGAGTCCTTGGGCAGGTGAGCTACGCTAAGTTCTTATGAAAGAGTCCGGAGGCACAGCCTGGGGCTCCCACATCAAAACAGTGCGCCACTACCGAGTGTGAGCAATGTGCAGCTAGTCTCCGAACCCCAAAGCCGAGGTTTCACAAGGAGAGCACAGCGTGCTCCGATGGGGACGGAGGGGGGTCGCTGTAAGCGCGAGCCCCTGCGCCCCCGGCCGCCCTGCCCGACCCGCGACGCGGGAGACGCTCCCACCTCGCCCTGCGGGGCGCCGGGACGCCCAGGACCAGCCTCGGGCCCAACTCCGCGCGACATCACCCTCTGGTCCTCGCTACCCGTCCCTGCGACCCCTGGAACTCACTCCACCCGGCCGCGCCGCCAGGGGCGGCCCGCCAGAGTTGCAGACTCCGGAGACCTAGAGTCACCGCCTCCATGGCCGCCGGAGAACTGCCGCACTCACGTGCCCCTCGGCCTTCCTCCCCCGGATCCCGGAGCACGCTGCTGAGGTTCCGCGCGGCACTTCCGGTCCGGCCCGGCGCGCGCTCTCAGAGCTACCACCAGGGGGCGAGTCGGCGCTGTACGAACGTTGATCGCGAGCGCGTCCAGATCCAAGAAGTAATCTTGCCTATGGCATCTCCTAACCCGTGGTTGACCTCTCAGGGTGCATGGTTGGGTTCTTAGGTTGCCAGGGTGGTTCTGCACCCGATTCCCCATTTTAATGGTCATATTAATGTGGACCTTGAAACTCATCGTGTTGACATTGTGGAGAACTTTATATGTAGTGCTCTTTACAAAGTAATTAGTATATATAGTATTGAGAGATCATATTTAAAAGGTACAATTGTTATTTCTTGTTCACTGGTGTAGTGCCTTTAACAGTTCTTGACACATAGTAGGCACTTAATAGATACGTGTTGGAAGAATTTGGATATCTGTTGGATGAATGAATGAATGAGTGAGTGAATGAATAGATGGATGGATGGGCCAAAACTTTAGTATTTTGTCTAATTCATTTGTATCAAGATAGTATTGCTAGAGCAAACAAGGCCATTGACAGGAGAACAACTAGGGAATTAAGATCAACAAGGAGGACGTAGAAATCCTGGGGGTGTTGGAGCAGCAGCAAACTCACTGAGAGGAAGTACTAAGGAAGTGGGATGAGCGTGATGGTGGGGCAGGACAAAGGTAAAAGGAAACAGAGAGAAGATGGAGGAAGCAGAGCTATGGATAGAGGTATAAGCATAAGTGTGTACATATGCAAATACATTAGTTCATAAAAATAGAGGTATTGGCCTATGTACCTTTATTTATATGGCAATATACAGAGGTAGTGGATGGACTTTGGGCCACTGCTCATGCCCTCCCTCAATGTAAGAACACTTTGTTCTAATAATCCGGCATTCTGTGATGCTCACTCTCCTGGCACAATCGCTGAAGACAAAAAGGGTGCACAAGCAAATGTGAAGAAAGCAGATGGTACCCGGCTATCAAAGATACAGCGTCTGTGATCATAAAGGGTTGAAGTTAAACAAGCAGCCATCTAGCAGAGAAGCAACAAAGCCCACATGGAAGAAGCACATCAGCCTGTGTGATCATAAAGTGTCGCCAGGACTGGGTAACAAGCATCAAAAGACCAAAACCAAATAAACAAACAAAAAAGCATTGTTGAGAAAGAGGGGGGTCAGGACAGAAACCCAAAGTCCATCTGTAGACAATGGGACATCCCCTCACAGAGGGGTAACAGGGAAGGGATGAGTCAATCAAGGTGCAATAAAGCACAAATGAAACACACAATATTCCTCTGGTTCCCTGAGGCTTTCTCACCGCTCACTATCATGACCCCGGTACTACCTTTCACTGCAGGCTAGACAAGAGCATGTACACAGGTACAGCTAAGAGATAAGCGCCCACGACACACAGAGTCCTGGAACAGAAATGGGAGTATCAATACCAGATGTGTAGGAGGAAGATGGGAGGAGGAGTGGGGGAAGGGGGAACCGATTTTGATGATGGACACATAACCACACAGACATACCACATAACCACACAGACCCCAGGGGGACAAACAACATTTATCAATGGGTCACGGGGAGGCGGGGGGAGCAGATACAAAGGGCTCAATAGAAAGTAAATGTCTAGAAACTAATGATGGCAACATATGTACAAATATGCTTGTTACAATTGATGAATGGAATATTACAAGAGCCCCCAATAAAATGATCTTTCCTTTTTTTAAAAAAAGATAGTATTGCTATTTGAAATAAGTATCCCATTCCAAACCCATTGCCATAGAGCTTATTCATAACAACTTTACATAGTTTCTGAAGCTGTAACTTTTATGGAACCAGAAAGCCTCATCTTTTAACTATGGAATATCTGATGAATTTGAACAGCCAACCTTGTAGTTATACAGTACAATAAAATCCTTCCCATGGGATGGATTCTGACTCATAGCTACCCTGTAAGACAGAGTAGACATGCCCCCCAAAGGCTTCCAAGGCTTTAATCTATGTTCATATAGATCTATACTGATTATCATTGACATCACATCTAAGTAAAATTCAACATTATTTCAAAGATAATCCAAAAGCAATTGCATCAGTACATCAATAAAGAACTGCCAGAAAATCAAACCAGATTCAGACGATTACAGTGAACCCTCATTTATCGCGGTAATCGGTTCTAGACCCTACCGTGATAAATGAAATTCCGCGAAGTAGGATTCCTTATTTGTAAATCAAATATTTTTGTAGTTAGAGCATAGAGGACATGAAAAAACACCCTTTAGTCACCATTACACTCGTATTACCCAATTTATTAAA